TTATTCAGTATTGTCAGTATATGCTGTTACCTGCGCCTCCTCATACAGTCATTACTGCACTGCCTTTTTTTTTATCTCAGGACAGATCTTATTGCAGATTTTTGTACATTTCTAGTTGTATATATGTTTAGATAGATATATAGATATATAGATTTTTGTATACATTCTTCTTTTTATATTGTTTCACCCTTATAATTATAACTGTCCTGTGTTGTGTGACTGCTGCTGGCTGCTAGATTTCCTTCAGGATCAATAAAGTATTTGTCTATCTATCTATCTATCTATCTATCTATCTATCTATCTATCTATCTATCTATCTTCCCTTGAATCTGGAACCTCTCTATATTTAACACTATATTTAATTAAAAATTCTTCAAAGCCAACATATCAAATGTTGAAACTGAGAAGTTTTTTAAATATATGCCCATTTTGAATTTGATGCCAGCAACACGTTCCAAGACAGTTGGGACGGGATTAAACCAAAGGCTGGTAAAGTTGTGTAATGCTTAAAAAAACACATGGTTGATTGGCAACAGGTCAATAACATGACTGGGTATGAAAAGCATCCCAGAGGCTGAGTCTTTCAGAAGTAAAGATGAGGAGCAGTTCACCACTCTGTGAAAGACTGCATGATCAAATAGTGCAACAATTCAAGAATAAAGTTTCTCAACATAAAATAGCAAAGAACTTGTGCTTTTCATCATCCACGGTACAGAATAACATTAAAAGATTCAGAGAATCTGGAGAAATCTTATTTGCTGGCCATGATCTTTGGGCCCTCAGGCGGTACTGCATTAAAAAAAGACATGATTCTGGAGTGGAAATCAGTGAATGGGCTCAGAAAAACTTCTGAAAAACACTGTCTAAGAAAATGGACTGGCCGCTGCCTTCTCTGGGCCTGAGCTCATTTAAAATGGACTGAGGGGAAGTGGAAAAGTGTCCCGTGGTCCGACGAATCAACATCTGAAATTCTTTTTGGAAATCATGGACGCTGTGTCCTCTGGGCTAAAGACCACTCAGCTTGTTATCAGTGCACAGTTCAAAAGCCAGTATTCATGATGGTATGGGGGTGCATTAGTGCACATGGCATGGGTGATGTGCTCATCTGTGAAGGCACCATTAATGCTGAACCATATATACATGTTTTGGCAACATATGCTGCCATCCAGATGACGTCTTTTTTCAGGGAAGGACTTGATTATTTCAGCAAGACAATGTCAAACCACATTCTGTATGTATTACAGCAGCATTGCTCCATATTAAAAGAGTTCAGGTGCTAAACTGGCCTGCCTGCAGTCCAGACCTGCCACCACTGAAAACATTTGGCATATTATAAAATGAAAAATACGACAAAGGACACCCTGAACTGTTGAGCAGCTGAAATCCTATGTTAAGCAAAAATGGGAAAATATTTCATTTTCAAAACTATAGCAGTGTCTCATCAGTTTCCAAATGCTTACAGAGTGTTGTTAAAAGAAGAAGTGATGAAACACGAATCCAAAATGGGCATATATTTTTCAAAAAACAATTAAATTTATCAGTTTCAACATTTGATATGTTGTCTTTGTACTATTTTCAATGAAATATAGGATTTTATTGATTTGCACATCATTGAATTTTGTTTTTATTTACATTTTGCACAGTGTCCCAACTTTTTTGGAAAAGGGGTTGTATTTTAAGTGCATTATATGCAATCATACACTGAGTTGCTGCTATGAAGTACATCTGCCTTGCACCTACATTTGTTGGCTGCACATTTCCCATGTTTCCCATTCATCAATGGGAAGGGGCCACCACAGGTGCACAACTGACCAAATGTAATTTGGGTGGTGGACCATTCATTTTAAACACTGTGTACACTAAGTGGTCATTTTATTGGATACACATGCCTTCTAAATATACATTTACAAAGACTATAGTCCATATGTATCCATGCAAAGTTTGTTTCAGACAATCTTTGGCTCTGGGGGTCTCAACTCCAGCCATGGGGACCTGCGCTAAGCTGGACCAGGGGCAGTGAATACATGACACTGTGCAGGACAGTGGGTCTTCAGGACTGAAGATGAGAGCCACTTCTCTATTCCAGAGGTGTCAGACTGAAGTCCTGGAGAACTACAGCACTGCAGAGTTTAGGATTCCTCGTCATTTAGCCCACTTGTTTCAACTCATCAGATACTTAGCAGGCATACACTGGTGTGTTAGAACAGTGTTTCCCAACTCCAGCTCTCTGCGCCCCCTGCTGTCCACAGTTTTGTCTTTTCCCTGATCTAGCAGAACTGTAGCAAGAAGGTAGTGCTAATTAGATAATGATGTAATTCCGATGCCTTAGATCAGGGAAGCCACAAAACTGTGCAGAGCAGGAGAGCCGATGACTGGATGTTGGGAAGTGTTGTCAGAAGTAATCTCTGATTAGAACGCTAATCTCTGCAGGGCTGTGGCCCTACAGAGTCTGACACTCCTACCCTAGCCCTTCATCTTTTGTGGTTGGCAGACTTCTCAACCCAGCAGTGACAGTGAGGTGTTGAAAAACACCAGCAGCACCACTTTACCTGACACACTTTTACCAGCACAACACATACTACCATGATATGAGATATCTGCTTGTTGGTGGTCTTATGGTTCTATTGATGGATACTGCAGTCCATGTTGTGCAGCATGTATGTACAGTATGTAATTCTACAACAATGTGTACCTATATGGAAGGGGTACCTCATAAATTAATAAATTCAGTGTATAGTGCACTGAATATTTGCTTAAACTTAAACAAAAATAGTGACTATAACATATTTGTTGGGATATAATACATATAATATAATATATGTTACCTTAACTTAAAATACGCTAAAAAAAGATCAAAATGAGTTACTATGTCAACAATTCATCTTTTTTCTGATTAAGTTTATCCAAATTTCTGTAGTATTTAAGTTGCATTAACTAAATTCTTTCATTAAGATGAGCAATTTTACAGTGTAGTACTAAATGTATATTGTTGTCTTAGCTTGACTTTATTGTGTTAAGTACTTCTTATTAAAGCTAGACACAGTAAGGTTATGAAGTGGTTAATTTTAGTTTGGTTATGTTACTTGGGAGCTTTTCACAATGATTGAAGACTGCAGAAAAGGTGATAGTAAATAGTCAATGTTTCATGATAAATATCAAAGATTTGGTACTTAAGGATACATATATATTTAAATATCATTTATTTATGAATGGTGGTTTATGCTACCACGTTGCCTAATTAGAACAAGAATGTCTGTGCTGTTTGTTGTTGCCTGTGCATTAAAGCATTAAGTGAAGCCATGGTTTGCTTTGTGAGTGTAAACTCTACATGAACAGGTTTACATTTTGTTTGGGTAATCTGGGGCTTTCGTGCTTGTTGTCCTTTCAGGATCTTTCCGTTGTGTTGTTACTGGACCCTTCCATCCATCCATCCATCCATCCATCCAGACACCAGTGACTCAAGAAGTGCTTTGGCTGTTTGTGATGAGGTCAGTGGGCCTGCCCCATCACCAAGACTGTTTTGGGACACTTTGCGTGGGGATTTTAAAACAAAAACATATGTAAAAGCCAAGGTAAAAATGAGCACATATATTTACTTAGATATTGATCTTGTCTTTCTTTTAACTAAGGGGAGGGGGAAGAGCCTGGGATTGAGGTACCTGTGGGAGAGAAAGAACAATGTTAAATATGAGAACATACTTATAGTGTGTGGCTAATTGCCATGTCAGGATGTATTTAGTGGACAATGATGTCTGCATTAATATACTTAGATTCTTGTATTATCCTCTGTTAACCCATTTGCTCTTAGCAGTGGTTTAGCCCAGTCTGATTATGTCTATGAGTTTAAATGGGGGTAGAGATTCAGTCTAAAGAGAAAAATGGCGGGCGTGAGGCGTGTATGTGGGTTTAAAAGTCTAATCGGCCTTGTGGCCTCAGGCTTCACCTGTGCTGAAATTGAAGGAAAACGTCTTTTATTGGACTGATGTTCGTGGACTAGAACAAGTCAACCAGAGTCTGTGTGTCTAGAAATTTAAGAACATTTTCTATCCTGTGTGTGTGTGTGTGTGTTGTGTGACGCCTGTACATGTGGCAGTTATGTTGTTCTCATTAGAGTCCTCACGTCCAGAGATGGCAGGAGGTTTGGAATATGGAGTGAGGATGGAAACATTTATTTTTACTATAAATCTTTAATAAATACAAGCATAAAATTGTATTGTAAATGCAAAAATTAAATCGGGTGCCTAATCGATTATTACGTGTCCAGTATTTTTTCATTTTAAAAGAATCAATAAACAAGTATTGTAATAACAATATTAGTCGGACTCAGCAGACTCAGTGTTTGAGATATAAACAAAGTCATCCAGAGTGGTTTGAGGTGAAATGGTTCATTTGTAGAAAAACCTGATAACTCTGCTAACTGATTTCTTTACAGTGGTGGTGATAAGAACCAGGGGCCGCCATGTCTACAACACAAATATAGCTATTTTATTTACCATCCAAAACCACCAGTGAACCTACACATGCCCTCTGAGCTTTTTATATGTAATGATGATAGTAAAATAGTGGCAAATCTGAAACAAAAAAGTTTTCTTTGGGGACTCTTTTGCCTTAGAACTCCCTTCATGTATCCCTCCACCATGGGTAGATTAAAAGAAACTGATTAAAATACGTTTTAGGCCCAAATTCTTTATCATAAAACATTCTCTCAGACATCAGGCAGCATGTCCTAACTTTCTGTTAGGGAGCTTTTAAAGGGGGACGTCTGGTTCCTATCACCACCACTGTAAACAATTCTGACTGCGTACGTTTCTCTAGAACGGAGCATTTTACACCAAACCGCTCTGAATGAGTTTGTTTACATCTCAACCTTTTAATTATGCTGACATTTTGAAAAGTCGGTGGAGTTGCCCTTTAATAAAAAATCTCCACAGCCTGATGGAAGCTGCCTTGCCAAAGCAGATGGTCCCCGGTCTCCCCGCCCCCTTTGTCTTTCCTTCAGCCTGAGCCTCCCACTGGCTTTTCCATTGGCTTAACGTTATTATAGGGGCACGGTTATTCCTGAAAAACGGTTTAAAGCGGTTTATTCCTCGAAATACGGAATCCGTTTGCAGTGTCTTGGGTCGTGCGTTATTGCATGGACCTGGCCGGGCTTCCTCTCTAGCTGGAGCGGCGAGCGGGCATTGTCCTTTAATTCAATCAGAAGACATTGTGCACAGGAGGAGGTGGGGCTAAATCGAGACACACAATACACGCATACGATTATATTCGTTTCGTCTGTGTGAAATCAGACGTGCGGAGCGCTGCATGTAAGTTAACGTTTCGTTCTTTAATTCGGAGTGAAATCGACTCGGTCTTTCTCGACAAACATCGCCAAGGCCCGGCCGGCCGAAAGCGGAGCCGCCGCCGCCGCCTCGGAGCGTGTTAGTGCGGCTTGTCTCAGGCCATTTCTTTCGTGATGGGAAAGAAAATATAAACTAAGCTATTTTATGTGGTAGATTACATTAATTATAGTCTGCTGATCTGTATCGTCAATTCTGTAGCTCCATAAAACACAGGCTGACCTCTATTGATGTGTGTATTGGCCGTGTAAGACTTATAAGACTTGAGCTTCTTGTTCGAATTTATTTTTCCGTTCCACCTTAAATGGTGCAGTAGTTACAGTATGTTAAGTTCCACTGTAAACGCTGCGGCAGTATGTAGCTGCTGCATCATTTAAGGTGGAACGGGAGAATTCGATCAAGAAGCTGATTTCATCCTCGTCGATTGGTTACAGTTGTAAGCGTTTATTAGGCTGCTGAAATACTTATTACGCTGTTTTTCTTCGACTAGGTGACGCAGGAACATCAGGAACATGAGTGATTCCGAAAAACAGAGCATTTCTCTGAAAGAGAAGGATGGAGTGGAGAAGAGGGGACGGGGGAGGCCGAGAAAACATCCGAAGGTAACAGTGATAACATTAACTAGCTGGATAACGAAGCTGGGCAGCTTCTTATGCGAATTCCTCGTCTCACCTTAAATGGTGCTGCTCTATTCTGGTACCCGAGGTGCCAGAATGTAGCTGCTGCACCATTTAAGATGGAACGGGAAAATTGGACTAGGAAGCCAACTTAAGCCTCGTACAGTGGCTGCTGTCAGAAGTAGGCTAGGCTTAAGAGCTAACAGGTCCCTGTAACTTTGGTAGGGATCAGGAATGAGGCCTGTTATGTCCAGCCTCTGCCAGATGCATAACTTTACATAACCACCGTAAAGCAGTGAGTTAAATCACGGTTCTGTGTTTCAGCCTCATGGCTCATGATGTATTTTCCACTCTCAGGAGTCCAGTGGATCCCCTGTTCCGAAAAGACCAAGAGGGAGGCCAAAAGGCAGCAAAAACAAAGGGCCCTCCAAGAAAGTGAGTGCATTCCAGCCCAGTCCTGTATTTCTCTCGTACACACTTTATTTGTTCTGTGCATTTTCATATGATGCGTAATGAGTCAGAGGAGGACTGCTGAAGGATCATCCTCAGGCCTTCTTCAGCTGATGGCCTACTAAGTGCTAGCTGTGAGCTAAGCACTGTCAGTCTGTCGCCCACCACGTCACAGCTCTCAGTGAACTCATTGGCCCCTCCACCTGTTTTCCAGCTCAGCAATGGCACCCTCTGCTGTTCTCTGCTGGAAAGTCTGGAGGAGCTGTAATCTTTCTTGGATGTGACTTATTTTCACATTCAGTTTTCATAACTTTGTCTTAGTTATTTTATCCCTTCAACCTTCCACTTTGGAAGGAATGTCCTTCAGTGCCATCGCCCCCAAACTCTGGAACTCTCTTCTTCAATCCCTACCTGACTGCTCTTCTTTTTCTGCTTTCAAATCTGATTTAAAGACTTTTCTTTTTTTATGAGCATTTCTCTTCCTCCTTTACTGCTTAGTCTTAGGGTTTATTTTGTGTGTGTGCTCTTTGTTATGTAAAGCGACCTTGGCATTGTGAAAAGTGCTATAGAAATGTAACTTATTATTATTATTATTATTATTATTATTTAACTGTTATTAGAGTGTCATAAAAGTCTGATGACCAAGGTTCAACGTACCCAGTCCATCTGTCCTAATGTGTAGTGCAAAGGGGACTGAAAAGTAGGGATACGTCAGTAGGGTTGTGGGACAAGGCTGATATACAAGATTTTTCATGTACATATCTGCAGATATAGATATATGTAGAAGGTGTGACTAAATCTGTCTGGGTTAGCATTATGGAATAATATTAGAAATGTGTTTCTGTAGGGTTACAGGTGCAGTAAAAGGAATAAAATACAGACATTTTGGCACAGTAGCCCAACATTGCCTGAACATTCTGCTCTTGCTCATGAAATAATGGTTTACAATATTGGCCAAATGTAAACATCTCTTCAATCTGCATAAAATTATGATATGGTTCTGATATCATAATGCATTCCTAACTGCTGCGTTTGAGACTAAAATGGTATCTCTTCTCAGAGAGCTGTGTCATCTTCAGGAAAGAAGCTAAAGGGGAAGCCCAAGAAAGAGGTAATAGACCCAGCAAACAGAATCCTTTCGAAACATCTTGCAGACTTTTAATGTTGCATATTGTTGCATTTGGAACAAAAATGCTGTATTTCCATTTTTTCTTCCCTCTCTGTTCTCCTTTAGGAATGATCAAAACTTGGAATACAATCTTGTTACTTTAACGTGCATAAAAAGTGTTGTTCTCTCAATCTTTTCTGTAAATTTACCATTTTAGAGAGAAAGTCTTGTTCCAGCAGCGACCATATGTAGTTTACTGTCCAAGTAAAGTTAAATTAGTTTAATGAAATGCGATCTCATTTATTGCCTTTGTGTTTTTCATTATGTTCTTTGTGAGACAGGAAAAAGATCAGGCATCTCAGGAGTGCTCGGAGGACGACGAGGAGGATGAAGATGAGGAGCAGTAACTGTCTCATCCTCAGCACTACCTCAAGACACTCAACTTGGCACCACTCACTTATCTGCAACCTGTGTTTAACAAGGGAATGTCATTTGCTCAGACCCCTTTCACAACTTCAGAGGACTGATATACATCATATTCTCTCTCTCTCTCTCTCTCACTCACTCTCTCTCTCTCTCTCTCTGTAACACAATCAGTTATGTAAAAACTGGAATAATTTTAGAAATCTGTGAATTAGATCATGTAAGTGTTTAGTACATTTAATGGTGCTTACTGGGTGCTTTTCTACTTTTGTTCAGGTTGGCTTTTTATGTATTTTATGTGGCTTCTAAGGTGAGAGTTATAGAATTAGAAAGAGCAAGCTATATGTTTTGACTGTGATGTGTAGTGGTCCTATAGTTTTAGTGGAGGGCTTTCTGCTTAAATGCAGCTGTTTTAAAACACCCCTGCACCGTAAACTGGCTAGATTTCATTTTATTAGATTTGCTTTATTATACATGTCGATGAGTGAGTATTGAACATTTGTTGAAGGTTAAGTGTGTGTAGTTTGTGAGATATACTGACCACGCATTTACGGAATTTAGATAATGAGAAACCATTCTCAGCAGTCTTTCTCAATCTGTTGTATTAGTTGAATAGTGGATGTAGGTGTTTCAAGCATAGTTCTCACTTCACGTACATTCCAGTAGCACTTATCTCGTGACCAAATTCGATGGGCTGTTCGTCTTAGGTATTTTGCTCACTGACAGATTTGCCACGTTTTATTTAACTGTTCCCAACCGGTCACTTTCTAGGACAAACGGAAAGACACCCAGGGCAAATTGATAACGGCTAAAGTCTTTTATACATTTATCTGGTAAACACTATTCTTTAAACGACAGTTTATCACAATTCAAAATTTATGGGTCCGTTCAAATACTACTGGGAGTTTACAATGAACACTTGTGAAATAATGCTCGCTTGACCAGCTATACCTCAGTACCATGGCTTGTGCTCGTGACAAGCCCACATTTTTGTTGTAATAATGACTGTTTTTACTCTGAGCTTACATCACACGTTTCATCCATGCCCATTTTCTGAACCATTGCAACAATATGCATTACCCACCTCAGGAATTACAGTGTACAGAAAGGCAGCAAAAGACCAAGGTAGTGTTCAGATAGCACTGATGACTTCTGTATAGAATATGTTTGTCTTTTCACTTGGAAATAGCCTTTGCCCTGCACCTATTTTTGATGCAGCTGAGGAATTGTCTACAAACTTTTTTAGGCTTATACCACATTTTGTTGATGCAGCAGCAGGATACATATTTATTTCATGTTTAATTAAGAACTAAATTGTACCTGTGTAGCATGTTGTGTTGTTAATAAAATACATTTTCTCATTTTGCTGTCTTGTCATTCTTTTGGGCTGAAAAGCTTTATGGGTCTGGATTTGTGCATGAATAGTTCTTATCAGAATCTAAGTCATAAAAAATACAGTACTGGTCATATTATTATTCTGTACATTTAAATTAATCAAGGCAATTGATTAATGAATACACAGTGGACCTCATTCAATATCTTAAGTTTTTTTCTTAAATTTGTTCTTGAGAAAGGTCCTAAGAAAAAATCTACATCAGATTCATGACGTGTTCTTAAACGGCAGAATTGTTCACACTTCTGTGCTCCTGAGTGTGTGTAGATTCTGTACCTAACTAAGAACAAAACTCAAATAAGAAACATTGGCGAATCTTTGTAAAAATTGCGTAAGTGAATTTTAAGAAGTAATTTCTTCTTAAGAATGGTTGGTAAATAAGGCCCAATGACCCACTTGAAAAGATGTGAGTTGTGTGTGTACCCACACATATACATATGTACACACACACACACACACACATACACACATATATATATATATATATATATATATATATATATATATATATATATATATATGTGTGTGTGTGTGTACATGTGTGTGTGTATATATATATATATATATATATATATATATATATATATATATATATATATATAATATAGGGATGTGTAAAATGTAAATAAAAACAGAATGCAATGATTTGCAAATCTCATAGACCCATATTTTGTTCACTATAGAACATAGAACACATATCATGTGTTGAACTAGAGACATTTAACCATTTCATTAAAAACATGAACTCATTTAGAACTTGGAGGCAGCATCACATCTCAAAAATGTTGGGACAGAGGCAACAAGAGGCTGGAAAAGTAAGTGGTACTAATAAAAAACAGCTGGAGGAGCAATTTGCAACTAACTCACATGACTGAGTATAAAAAGAGAGCATTTTAAAGAGGCAGAGTATCTCAGAAGCAAAGATGGGCAGAGGTTCACCAATCTGCAAAAACTGCATCTAAAAATTGTGGAACAATTCCAGAAAAATGTTCCTCAGCGTAAAATTGCAAAGACTTTTGATATTCCACCATCTACAGTACATAGTATCATCAAATGATTCAGGGAATCTGGAGAACTCTCTGTACACAAGGGACAAGGCCGATGGTCAATATTGGATGCTTGTGATTTTCGGGCCCTCAGGCAGCACTGCATTAAAAACAGGCATGATTCTGTACAGGAAATCACCGCATGGGCTCAGGAACACTTCCAGAAATCATTGTCTGTGAACACAGTTTGTCGCTGCGACCACAAATGCAAATTAAGGCTGTATCATGCAAAGAAGAAGCCATATAACATGATCCAGAAATGCTGCCGTCTTCTCTGGGCCAAAGCTCATTTAAAATGGACTGAGGCAAAATGGAAAACTGTTCTGTAGTCAGGTGAATCAAAATTTGAAATTCTTTTTGAAAACCACGGATGCCGTGTCCTGTGGACTCAAGAGGAGAGGGACCATCCAGCTTGTTATCAGTGCACAGTTTAAAGCCTGCATCTCTGATGGTATGGGGTTGCATTAGTGTACATTAGGCCAGCGTACACATCTGGAAAGGCACTATCAATGCTAAACAGTATATAGAGGTTTTAGAACAATACATGGTCCCATCCAGACAACGTCTCTTTCAGGGAAGGCCTTGCATATTTCAGCAAGACAATGCTAAACCACAAACTGCATCCATCACAACAGCATGGCTTCGCAGAAGAAGAGTCCGGTGCTGAACTGGCCTGTCTGCAGTCCAGACCTTTCACTAATAGAAAACATTCGGTGCATCATGAAACGAAAAATCCGACAAAGAAGACTCAGGACTGTTGAGCAGCTAAAATCCCACATCAGACTAGAATGGGACAACATTCCTCTCCCAAAACTCCAGCAATTGGTCTTCTCACTTCCCAGACGTTTACAGACTGTGGTTAAGAGAAGAGTGGATGCTACACGACAGTAGACATGGCCCTGTCCCAACTTTTTTGAGATGCATTTGCTGGCATCAAGTTCTAAATGAGTTAATGTTTTTCATGAAATGGTAAAATGTTTCACTTTCAACATCTGATATGTGTTCTATATTCAATTGTGAATAAAATATGGGTCTACGAGATTTGCACATCATTGCATTGTTTTTATTTACATTTATTTACATTTCAGACAGGGTCCAAACTTTTTTTAGAATTAGTGTTGTATATACATATATAGATAGATAGATATAGACATATAGCTATATTTGTGTGTGTATATGTATATGTAAATATGTGTATATATATTTTGCAGTGGCATTTTAGGGTGTGTGTGTGTGCAATGTGCAAAAACCTTACATACATACGTACTGAAATGCAAAAACATTTCACATTTCAGAAGCTACTGGTGCAAAAATCCAAATAATTTTAAAGGGTTCACAAACTGTTGCTTACAGTTATATGTGCCTGCGTGTGGCGGTGGAAGTGAGACAGCACTGCGCTGTGTTAAGAGGGGCTCCTGTAGACACGCTAAGGATTCCCGTCACTTTACGCCAGATTCTGCAAGAACAGCTACGCAACTTTTCTAGTGAAGAGCCGTTCACGGAGGGTCAGGCTGCGCCGACAACGTAGCAGTTTCAGTAATGGCGTCTGTGGCTGAGATGCGCTTGGCTTTGGAAAAATGAAGCGTAGAAGAACTTATTTCTTTTATTGAAAACGCGGGGTTTCCATCAGTGAACTTTGCGTCGGAAGGCTGTGTCATCTCCCGGAGGTTCGAGCTCTGATACTAGTCCCTGTCGTACCGAGATGATGAAGCTGAAGTCCAACCAAACTCGCACATATGATGGAGATGGTTATAAGAAAAGGGCCGCTTGCCTGTGCTTTAGGAGCGAGACCGAGGAGGAGGTGAGGCCGGGGATGTGAACTGGAGTGATTGAATGGGCCGTGATAACGACCATAAATGGTGCTCTAATCAGTAAAATGTTCAGTAGTCGGGTGTGTATTTTGGTAGCAAATAAATGTACGTTTTGAGTTTAATACAGGAAAAGCCGAGCGCCGAGATTGAACAGCTCGAGGGCGGCAGTGTGGCTGTATAACAGTGAGCTAAGGGTAGCTTAGCCCAGTTAACGCTACACGGTGCGGTTTCTCAGTGACGCTGAGCTGCCTTGTGTCCGGTTAGCCTGTCAGCTACCGAGAGCAGTGAAGCGGCCCGCGAATTTCCGTCCAGCTTATAAATATTGGGCGGTACCGTATGGCTTTTACCGACCAGGATCACTGGGGTCTGAAAAAGTCCAGGGTACTGCAGACACCGCAGTTTGTGCGAGGTGGTCGCGCAAAAGCAACAAAAAGACTGCTGGCTAGTCGTTAGCTGGCTAGCCAACGTACTCATTGGCAAGCGCTCTGGATGAGCTAGGTTAGCTAACCTAGCTTATGTTAGCTAGACGTTTTAGCCAACCGAGTAGCTCGCAAGGTTGTAAAATATGTCTCGTTTTCAACATTTAGGGCCAAGGAGACGCTGTTATTCATGAAGTCCAGAGGTTAAACTCTAATTATCTTAATAAACTCAAGAGATTTAGCAATTAAGCTGTCTTGCAGCGCCATTCCGCTTGTTTGTTTATAACGGTTGAACAGTTAACTTGCCAAGTTCACTGTGTGATTTTCATGGATATCGTTTGGCCTACTTTTGGCTCAGAAAGGTGTCTGTCTCTCTCGTTACGCACGTCAGCTTTTGTCAGACTGGAGGGGGTATGTATGACAAGTTCTGTCAGATCCTGCTATGTCAGCTGTATTGCTGCTCTGTGTTGATCCAGGTGTTGCTGGTGAGTAGCAGTCGACATCCAGACAAGTGGATTGTACCAGGAGGGGGAATGGAGCCGGAGGAAGAGCCCAATGTTGCTGCTGTCCGAGAAGTTTGTGAAGAGGTCAGACTTGTTATTTTGCTGATGCTGAATGTGACTTTCCATCCAGTTATTGCACTGTTACTAATGCGGTACAAAGCAGTGGACCTTTGAACACTTGAGTTATGATTTGGCCTTAAAACATATGAGAAGAACTTACAACTGTATTAAAGTTACAGTTAGAGTTGGCAGTATGACAGTATTTATCTTTATCGTGATAAATTATGTCACAGTATGCTTTCCTGAGCAAATCTATTGTCAGATCAATGGATCTCTAATCAGACATGCAGTTGGGAAGTGGATAAATCACTTCCCAACTGCATGTTTGATTGGTTTAATAGGACTTAGTGCAGCACAGTCATATGTCAAATACAAGTGATTGGATTTATAGTTTTTCATAGTATTTTTAAAATGTGGCACTACTTTGTCTGTTCCAGCTTACCAGATGCCCCCCAAAAAAATACAGTGACATATCATGTATTGTAAAAAACTTCATGGAGGATCGCAATATTATACTTTGCCATATCGCCCACCTCTAGCTGCTGTTATCATAGCTGTGCATGATTGACATAAATGGAAATTAAAACAAAAAAAGTTTAGTGTGTTGAAAAACTCTCATGTCCCACTTGAAACCCAGTGCTTCATTCGTTTTCGGTAGACTTTGTGCTACTGAATGGTGGGACACTCATATCCTTGTAAGCCATTCTGAGCTAACCCTGATGTTCTGGTCATAGATTCTTGTGATGGGCAGTGATACGCATCACTCATGTGGAGAGGCAGATCACGTTACAGTGGAGTGTTAAAGGGCGTTAAACTCAGATTAACCACTGCTCTTTACTCTACACCCTGGCTGTGCTCCAGTTAGGCAGACCTCCAGCAGCAACACTAGGATAAGCTTCCTTAGGCCCCCTATAATGCAAACTTTTGCCCTTTATATGCTTAATATGTCACCATAATGTGCTGGAATATAGAATTTGTAGGACGTACGGCATTCAAATGAACAGGACGTCCTTCCTGTATTCTTTTGACCTACCCTTTGGTAAATCAAGGCGGTCTTTCTAACTATAAATCATGGTGGAAACAGAGAAGGGTGAAAGAGACTTTGTAGAAGATACTTTCTATGGTGCTAGTGACACCTTTGTTGTGTCATTAATAGATCTTGACCAGTAAATCAGGTGGCCAATAAAATTGGTCTGTATTGACTGCCTATGGGTTTTTTCGATATCTGCAAAATGTTACCAATGTGCCAGTAATGACCAATTGGTTTTGGTGAGATTTAAATGCATAACCTCCTGATGGTAGAACAAAATCTTAAACAGTTGTGCTACTGGAGAACTCAGTATGAATCACCTCATGTTTATAGGAATACAGGTTGAACAAAACACCATCATGATTAGAACATCGTGTTAAATAACAATCTTTAGCATGAGAATAACACAAACAAACTTTTTTTATAGAGAGAACAAATATAAAGCAACAATAAATAATGTACCAACCACAGTGCAATATTATTTATCTTGTATAAGATGGTCAGTTTAAGCTATTATACATTACTGTCACACGTGCTAGTAGAAATGAATATGTATGAATTCAAAAAAAGATCACAGTTGTGATCGCAGTACTGTGTCAAGTCAAAAGTGCTCACTGAAGCTGTACTCAATTATTCATAGCCACTTATTCCTGAGCTGTTCTTACAGTGGTGTGTGCAATATCAAACCTTTCCCCACTGGCCAAGCATCTGCTCAGTGCAGTTGTACGAGCTGTCATGCAGGTTAAGTTGTAGAGTTTATGGTAATGTCACTCACTCAGGTAATATGAACACTAGAAAACACATCCAGATGTCTGTAAACAAAGGGACTTGTGATGTACAAAATGCCCAAAATTTGTTTAGTTTGGGGCTGTAATGTTGTACATAAAGCCAGCAATGATGTGGTGTTTTACAGCTTGCCTGCTGAAAAAAAAGTCATGCCAAAAGACTGAAGCACCCCCTTCTGTTTCTGCTGCCTTTTCTGTCTTTAGTCTGTTTTTAATAATAATAAGATGATCAAATTCATTGAAATTCATGACTTCAGCCATACTTACGTCACTGCTGGTGTTGGTTTGTGTTTAAAATACAAACCTTTTACACATTGCTTCTGTTTCATTACTGAAAATCTGTTCCACTAAGATTTATATTTATTTTGGTGTTAAAAAATGTAATACACTTGCAACTTTTATAGCACCAGTACTACATGCTCAATTTATTTATGTAAAGCCCTGATATCAGACAGTAAAGCACTGTTTAACTAAAAGTACTGGAGTATAAAATTAATATCTAAAATATATCAGTTATCAGAATTTCTAACCCATTAAAATCAGTATTTTTTTTGGCCTCAAGTTTCATGTCGGGCAGGCACTAGTCATTAAATAGGGAGAATTTCGTGTGAATAGGGTGAATTCTGCTCTAGAGTTGACATTCAAGGCTATACGATTACACATTTAATTTAGTTTCAGTTAGATTGCCATTAACAGAGCCTTGAGTTTTTCTGTCTATTCTTGATGTAATGTTAAGAAAAAATATTCTTCACCAAACATGATAATGAAATATTAAACTAACCTTATGGACTAAAACTAACTTGGGATGTGTGTAAACTGGGAAAGTAGCTTTCAATTCCACATTATTTAAGGTGAATACAGGTGTAATTGGTGAGCAAAAAATTGTTGTCAAAATTATTGCTTTAATCCAGGCATGTCAAACTGGGGACCTTCTGGGTCAAAATGCTGCAGAGATTAGCGCTTACCCTCATCTGACGCTCTGAATTCAGTTCCTGCTAATTAGCTGATGAGCTGAATCAGGTGTGTTTAATGAGGCAGTGTGCTGAAGTCTGCAGTGTTTTGGCCTGCGTGGACTGGAGTCTGACACATGCTCTAATCTGTGCATGCCCAGTCTTATCTGCAAAAGGGCCAATGTGGCTGCATGTTTTTGTTCCAAGGATTATCACACCTGATCAGTTGTTTGAGGACAGAGACACTTGATTAAATATGCAGAGTCTGGTGTCTTTTTCTTGGTAAGAATGAAAACCTGCAGCCAGTAGATTTTGCAAAATAGATTGGGAACCCCTGATCTAATCTTTTAACCTTAGAGCCCTTTCTGAATGAGGTGCCTTTATGTAGCTGAACTAAACTGAAATTTTGGTTCCCAGTCACCCCTGAAAAAATCATATAAGTACTACACAGCATGCATTCTAATTATTTGTGACCCTGATCTATTCTTGGTTCTGTAACATGTTGAAATTAAGCCAGAGAACCTGTCCAAAAATGTTATGTCCAACTCTTATTTTAATGTGACGTCTGATTGGCTTTTTGTATAAAGATCAAAAGGAAAGAAAAATGCACAAATCACTGCTGAAAAAGTCTAAAGTCTTTTCAAAACAAGATGACAACTGTGCCTAATACCTTAAACTTAAAATCCTAAGTCTGGTAACCCAGTGAAACACAGCAAAGTGCTTAATTAATTTCTGCCAATAAAACAGCTTGAGTTTTTGAGTGCATTAGAAATGGGACTTTTAACCAGTATTGGGGTGGTTACTTAAAGTGATATATTACAAGTTAATGATTACTTCTCTCAAAATGTAATGGGATTACATAACTTAATACTTCCTGTGAAAAGTAATCTCATTAGTTATTATTTCTGTTTTACTCTGTAAAACCTGCGTGTATCAGCTGTACCAGAGAAGACCCAGTAGTCCTCCTCAGTAATTTATTCAGAAAAATAGTCCAGTTACAGTAACCATTAGTTAAAAGGCCTGTCACTGTCCCTGCCAGCCAGTTATGCTGAACAGCTGATGCTGTGTGAAAACCAAGAAATTAGCGAGTAGAAACAGTTTGAAACAACCATCTCGTAACAAAATCTTTATGAATAAAATGGAAAATTTAGAAGCTGTTTATAGCTCTTTTTACAGTTTTCTTGTTCCATCAGTGCTGCTGTCTTGGCAAACGCACAGCTGGCTGTACAACAGCATAATTATCAATCTGTTGTTTGCAACCTAAAACTATTGACATCCAGTAGCAGGATCGACTCCAGAAAATCCTGGGCTCTATAATAACGTTATTATACTTGGTAAAAGTACTAATGGTGTAACTATTTCAATACTATATTGAAAAAAAAAAATTCACAACTGTGTATCAAAATTTAAAACAGTATCACCGATGTGATCATCAGTCTCTTCACTATCAGTCTCTTCTAGCCTCATTCCTATTAATGTGTGTTTATTTCTTTTGCAGAAACCACTGTCAGATTTTATTTCTGAGATTGCTTATAGTTTCTAGGGTTTGTCTGTTGTTATTTTGTGAGAGGGCAGCGCTGCGGGCACTGAAAGTTTTATGAGCCTCGTGAATTTTTCTGTATTTTCTCTGCTCCTAACTACAGAATCACAACTGAAGTTGAACTACCACTGCACAAACTAACAGATCAACTGAGAAGTGGTTTCTTGAATACAGAGACAGTTTCATTAAGGTCTTGCAGATTATAATAAAATCTAAAGCAAAATGAAACTATTATTCATTATTTACTCTTTAAATTCACTGATTAACTCAGTGGTATTTCTATCAGTGTGGTTATCAAAAGTTTTTACACGTTGGGCCAGCCTCTCAGGTTTAGATTAAATCTAGTTTCAGACAACATTAAACTGTGAGTGGGTTTTCGAAGTTGATGACATTTTGCCTGAGTACTTATTTAAGATGTGTTGAAGAGTTGATCAGTTTTAAGCTTTGCATATGAGAGACTCAGTGACTAGTAGATGTGCAGCAGAGGGGCATATCTTTTCCCAGCCATGAACTTAAGTACAGGTTCATATTAAATGATGAATAGCAAGACTGAAATGTGAATGATGAACAATCTAGACAATGAATGATAAAATAGATGGTCGTGTCAAATTAACAGATTATTACTGAATTTGTCAAACCCTTTTATCTTGTCACTTTGGGTTGCAGCACATGTGTTTCCAGTGATTTCTTTTTCCTTGTGCTTTAAATGTTAAAAACTGTGTGCATGTTTTTGTTCTGTTCTGATAGGCTGGTGTCAAGGGCACTTTAGGAAGACTAGTAGGAATTTTTGAGGTGAGTTGAATTAATATTAGAGTACATTTTGTGACTAAACCAAACTTCTTGTTGTCTGCGGTACTGGTTTTGATTCCTGCTGTGCTGCACAGATTATTTTTCTAAAATTAGTTATTTGGATCGAACACAAGACTGTGCAGGTTTGTGAATGTCCCTCAGTGTTGCAGTAAAAGAGAGAGGTGGTGTGGAAATGAAAATTGTAAATATACAGTAATTTATAGAATTGGAGTAGGTAAAATCAAGTGCAGACAAGTTCCACACAAAAAAATTTTTGATCATTTTTTCAGAAAGCTTTGTAGCTTGGGATTTTCAGTTAGTCCTCATATCTTAATGATGCTTGGATGTAGAAGATATTTTTTACATACAGTGTTTTATATACCGATGATTCTAAATTTCATGTTGCAGTTGCATTTTGACGTATTGTCTTGTCAGTTTTTTGTCTTGAACATTGCATCATTTTGAATTAATTTTCTTCTTATTTAGAATCGAGATAGGAAACACAGGACATATGTGTATGTTCTCATCGTAAAAGAAGTACTGGAAGACTGGGAGGACTCTGTAAACATCGGTAAGTATTTGAGAGTAACTTATAGTAGTGATACATCAATACCATTTTGTCCCCCAGACCAAGTTCGAATACATATTTTTAGTACTCGCCAATGCCAAATCTGATACCATACTGAGTAACCTACTTAGTATTAAGTAGTTGTTAGTGTAAATGAGAGCAATGTACCTTAACAGTACCTTCTACAGCCTGTTTTTACAAGAAAATCACCATAGTCACGTTTAAAACTAGCAGTGTCAACTTTTTTGCCTCCATCTTGCCAGCCTGTGTGTCTCCACCCGTATTGGGGAAGTGGTTGCGACTGTGTTTGTGGGTTTAAAACGAGCTGAAATCGCGCAGTGTAGGTCTGGCGGGAATATGCCAAGGCAGTATGTTTAAAGTGACGACTTTGTGTCCAACTGCCACGGAGTCAGTAACACTTCTCTGTGAGAGCAGACCCTCCTTCTCTGCCAGCTTGAGTCATTTGTTCATTAGTGCAGCTGCGTACGCTCAGCTTACATCATAGGGTATTAAGTGGTATTGGTGAATAACAGTATTGGTATTGATGCATCCCTAATATTGATTTTTAGATGGAATTATTGAACTTTTACACTATGCCATAAGTGTATACAGTACTGTGTAGTACCTGGGCGATACTGAAAGAAAGCTATGTCTGCTATATGTAATTTTTATGAATTTTAAACTGGGCCTGGATGAGTCCACAAAATTAAATTAAAAGGCTAAAAAAAAACACAAACACACCCTGCTATTTCATGGGCATTATATTGTGGCTATAATATTAATTATCTAGAAAATATGTGGCTAAAAAGTAGCGCTAAAACTGAACAGCAATATAAATATCACGGTATAGCAGTACAGACAAAGTATCGCCCAGCCCTACTGTGCAGGACTAAACAACCCCACTGAGAGCGCTGTGCCTTCTCTTCTGTTGACAGGAAGAAAAAGGGAATGGTTTAAAATAGACGATGCCATACAAGTGTTGCAGTGTCACAAGCCAGTTCAGGCCACCTACTTCGAGGCTCTACAGGAGGGCTGCCTGACCAGTAACGGGACGCCTCTAGTGGCCACGATAGGTGGAGACCTTTCGCCCACCTACAACATTAATCAGAGCTCTGTCTCTGATATCAGATAACTAATACACAACACTGACACTCCGGATGCTTCCGCCACCACTCTCGCTCTTATTCTTTCAGTATTTTTTTTTCTCTCTTTGCGCTCTCTCTCTTCTTTTTCCTTTAAAAATGGTTTGCCTTGCCAACCCTTTGTGAGTGCCAGAAAGGTGGCACAAACTTGACAAGTGTTGGGTAAATATTCAAAAACTTGTTTTGTAAATGTAAATTTAATGTTTGTCTCTCTACTCTGATTTCTCACCTCCTCCCCCCCCTACAAATGGACAGTTGCATGAAATACTCTTTCCCCTCCTCTTCCTTTTCTCCCTTTAGTGCCCTCTACGTGGCCCAAGTGTGAGGTTAAATGAATGCAAGAACTACTTTTTACTGTTGTGATGTAAATACACATAGCCTAGTACTTACGCTTGAGGCTTTTAATATTTTTATGCGTTCATTTTCCTGTATGTGAGAGTGAGTGAGCACGTATTAGTGTGCGTGTGATGGTGTATGTATGTGTTTGTTCTCTGAACCACCCCACAGTGAGAAGGAAATGCTTAGCTGCCTGAACGGATGGAAATGTGAGAAGTCAGTCGTTTTTGCATGAGCACTGATATTTATTTGTCTTACGAGTTTGGGTGATCTGATGAATGTTCAACCTGTATTTGGTGTCGGTAGGTCTTTTGAGTAATCTTTTTCTCCCCCTTTTTGCCCCTTTTGGCATTTTGTAAATATCTTGTGAGCTGAAGAAATACAGATGGCTGACTTATGCTTGTTCCCTGACTAGAGAGTGGAGCCTAAGTCTTTGAATATGCTGACTTTAAAGGGATAGTTCAAACAAACAGTCAACACAGGCATGCTAGCATGCAAATCGGTTTGTTTCATGCCACCCTTGCGTCCGCTTATTGTTGGGCCATGTTAGCGTTTTTGCCTAGCGCATCCATCCAAGTCAGACTACCCTTTGGAACCTCAATCAAAAGGCTGTGGGAGCATACGTATGCTTTTTGTGGCCAGAAGAGAGTCCTACATGTTCATTATAATATTAAGAGGTCCTTGAGGTTTAGCATGTCGCTGCTGATATCGCATGCAAGCCTCTATTTATTTCAGTGTTTTGATGGTGTGCCAGTGAGAAATGGTCTTTAAAAAAGAAAATTTGCTAGTTATTTCCTAAATTTCAATGGCAAAACCACTAAAACCAGAATTATTTTGAATGGCAAGGTTCTGGAATTTATGTCAAGTTTGGCGACAGAGGTGGATGTAACCAGAAGGTTCTGTAGAGAAGAACCCCAGATAGGCACATATCAAACTATTTTCTCTTTTTTTTTATTTATTAGCAGGCAACAAACTTCAAATGGGCCCACTGTAATACTTTTTTCTTTTTTGTGGACCCAAATTAGGTGGAATACAAGTCCAAGACACTAGGCTACAAAGTTGTGCTTCAAAGCCCACTGGGTAATTTTAAGTTCAGAAAGCTGAGGGCACTTTTTAGTTTAGTCAAAGGTAGCAGTTCCTTTGAATGTGTCCAACAGAAAACCCACACACCTTAGTCGTCCCTCAATTTGTTTTAAGCTTGTAAAAAGGCTCATGTCAACTGCATGAAGGCACAAATAGTTAATGCTGCCTCTTGTTAACTGTGGTTTTCAATGGAAGAGTTGTATCTCATACCGTGTTGATTTGGGCAGATGAAGGTGTTGCATAGCCCTCATTAATATCCAACAATGATCTTTGCAGTAGTCTTTTTTTTTTTTCTTCATCTCTTAAGGGAATTGTTGAATCCACATCTTCATTCAAGTGCCCCATACCTGCTTGACCTGCTTGACAGCAAGAACTAACACTCTTTCTAACATGATGCAGAGCTAAACAAGGCTTGTACAGACAAGAGACCTTGTTTTAACATGTAAAAAAGTGGTTTCGAACTGTAAGCTTTGTTTTTTCCCTTCTCTTTTCCTCTTTAAACCATTTAGTAAGTCGTCTTAGCCAGACTGCTTACCTGCCCTTCTGACAGCAAGCAGCAGTTGGCACAATACTGTGAATCTGGAGCCACTGTAGTTAGCCATTTATTTTTTTTCCCCCTTCTGCATAGGTCAAACACAAAAATATTAAATTTACAGAAAAATTACAGTACATGTGGTTTGAGGTTGGGTATGGTACATGTGAGTTTCTGGTCATTGGCTATGGAACTGAAAGGTCCCAAGCAGGATGTTTGAGCTGTTATAGAGCAGCCGTTCTCAAACCGGTTCTTGCGGACTGGTTGTAGAGAATTGGCAGCTAAAGCAGTCCCACCTTTATTTTATTTTTTCTGCATGATTGTTAATCCAGAATTAAATCTACATACTTAATGATGGTTCTTCAGGGGGGCTTTCGTAAAGATAATGGTTCTATATAGAACCATGAACACTCAAAGAACCCTGTATACGATTTAAAAAGTTCTTTGCGTCATGAAAGTGTTCTTCAGATTGATGGAGAATTGTGCTGTAGATGGTTCTTCTATTGTAATAAGACAGACATCGTAACAATAGAAGAACCGTTTTGGTGCTATATAGAACCCTTTTCAAAAAGGTTCTATATAGAACCATCTACAGCACGTTCTTCATCAATCTGAAGAGCTTTTCATGATGCAAAGAACACTTTAATCATGCAAAGGGTTCTCTGAAAGTTCGTTTCTATATAGAACCATTTTGTTTACCCTAGAACCCTTGAAGAACCATCATTTTTAAGCATGTAGGTTTTTTACCCCCTGCCAGCAGATCCGTTTTGTTGAGATGATGTATCAGTTTTGCCCCTACAAAACATCCTGATTAGGACTTTGAGGCCTGTTTCCCAGACACAGATTTAAGTCCAGCCCTAAAAGACACAACCTTCTGAATGAAGGTTTTCCACAGAAAGAAAAACGGTCCAGGACTAGCCTTAATCCCTGTCTGGGAAACCAACTCTGTGGGCTTGGTTATTAGTGAGCAAAGAGCCCGTACATTCAGGCATAATCTTAACAGAGGCCATGGTTCAACTGAGTAAATCCAAATTTGTGATGATTTTGTTTACATGGCTAGACAAGTGTAGGTCTATCCGTCAAACACTAAAATCATGATTTAGAAGATTACATAGTCCTATAGCTGGGTGGATGGACTTTACATAATACTTAATACATAATATTGTTTCTTTAATTGCCCAGAAAGCGCAACAGTATTGATGGGCTGTTTTTAACTGCACATAGCACAATCGCCCATAGAAACATAAAACTGTGTATTATAATGAATTTCTGACTAATTTAAAACTAAATCTCAGTCTCCTGTGCAGGGAGTAGCTGGATTATATGTGGAATACAGACAGCATGTTGTAGTCCTTTCTCCCTCTCCAGATTTGACTCTGCTCATGCAGTCTTGATTCCAGACAGAAAAAAGATTCTGACCTGTTGAATTGACTATGCTCAGTTACCCTCTATTGCACCTTACTATTACTAGCCCAGCGTAATGCATTAGACCCTGAATGTAGACTTTGAATTTACATCAAAACACCAGCCTGAGTTTAGATTTTTCACATGTCCTCAATGAGTCACCTTTGAAATTTGCCTGATGTAGAGTATGGTCTATAGAAACCAACATGGAGAAAAAAATTGACATTAATTCAGTTCCTAAAGCTGTGACCCTTTTCCGTTTAACAAGCATACCCTTCACTGGAACATTTGCTTTGTGATTTTGGGATTGTGGAATATACCAGTATGAGAATGTAATATAAATGTGCCAACAAATAAACATCAGTATTTCACATTATCATTATAGTGTGCCTTTGCTTACAAATACATTGCACACAGTATCTCTGAAGTTCGAACTGTGACCTGTTTGTTCTGATGTTTACAGGAGGAAAGCAGGAGCCCTTACAGCTCGGCTCAGAGGGCCTAACTATATTTGCTGTAGAGATTGCTATCCAGTCATTTTTCCCTCAAATCAAAGTCAAAACTCATTAGTTCAAATCCAACAGCCTCATTCAGTTAAATGTATGTAACCTTTGCCCTGTTCTGCAATGTAGTAAAATAACTTGGCATGCTGTAACACTACATAACAGCGCTGGTGTTATTCAGATCTGAGGCCACACATTTTATCAAGAACTTAACTATTTCAGCTCATTCCAGACTTTTCAAAGATGTCTGCATAATTATATGGTTGAGATGTAAACAGTCATGCAAGAGGCATTTTAGACAAACTTGCATCCTGTGAATTATTAACAGTGGTGGTGATGGGAACCAGACATCTGATGAGTTTAATGCTTCTATAATCTACATCACATTAAGCAGTTACAAATATGCTCCCTGATATGAGGCATTATTGTATAATTGAGATTTAAAAAATGATTTTAACCTACAAAACATGTCAGATGACCACCATCAACATACAATAACTTTCACATATTCAAGTTTTGTTTGTTTTTCGAACAATTAAAACAGCTGTATTTGTGTTCCTACCACCACCACTGGAAGAGCGTCAGAAACTCTCTACAATGTACCAATACATATACCACTATGAATGATGTTTACATCTTAACCATTGAATTATAAGGAAATTTTGAAAAATCAGTAATCACATATGCTTAAGCAGTGAAGTGCTGCACTATCCAGGATTTCATTTCAGGACTAGAGTAAAACAGCAGGAATCTGCATGACAACCAACAGCAGGCTCTCACCAATACCTGTCACACATAATATGCAGAACTTCATGCCTTTTACCCAATTTCATTGTTTTCCTATCTAAAGTAGGCAAGTTGTGAATTTAGGTCTCACATACTATAGATTAAGTCAGACTAAAATTGTCTGATCATGTTCACAACCCCTAAGTATTACGTGAAAGTATTTTATGAATTTTATGGTCATATACATGGCCTCTAACAAAGAACTCAAAGAAACTACGCACACTGAGCATTCATCTCTCTGACCTGGATATGACTGATCATCTCCAGCAGACAGACTTGTACTGTGTTCAAATGTCAGCTTGGTGTGAACGCAATCCAGTCAATATAAGCGCATTTGCCGGGGAATGTCATTAATGCCTCTCCTACAAATCTCTGACCTGACACTTAGTAATATCCCTGGCCCGGCCTCATTTGCCTAACTGGAAGAGATTGCTGTATATTCAGCGTGCTTTAACTCCACAACAAAGTATTAATGTCCATTTTATCTAAATATCCAATGTGCAGAGTTTCTGCAGATGCCCAATATATAAAGCAATATTCAACATGTGACTGGGAAAAGAAACACACTGACATAAAACATATTTGACGCTTTATTATACAGACAAAGTGGAAAATTACTGTGGCTGCTGTCCTCGGCCACGTCCGAAACCACCTCTCTGTGAAAAAGAGAAGGCAGAAATCAGTACCATCATTTCATCGAATCTCCATTAGTGGACAGCTGAATTACAATGGCCCACTAACATTTACACAACTCTAAAAATGTACTTACAAACTGGAATTCTGTGGCAGCTCCAGCACCTGCTTCAGCCTTCTTGTCTGCTCCAGCTACAGTAATACAAAATGCATGTATTAGGTTTACGAGCCCTTCATACACCCACCAGTGTAAAAGTCTGCTAAGTAAATAAATACTGGATGGAATTACAGGTGTACTGTTCTCAACACAACTGCATCTTGACCACTGGGACAAGCTGGGTGAAAAGCAACTGAAAGACAACACTGATAGTCCACCCTGTACTGTGTGTTCTCAGAGCGTTGTATCTCAGTTTTGGCTGGTAGTAAACCCCTGCCCCCCTGGGCAAAGAATCTGCTGACCTGCTCAGCTCGGCAGTTTGACAGTAGTGTGTACTTACGCTGAGCTGCAGATCGTCTGTATGCATCTCTGTCTCCCTCTCCACGGGCCAGACGAGCTGGTCTTTCTCCCTCCAGACCTGAGAGGAAAAATAAACATTATTTCTAATTTTCTTTACATTTAATCTAAAAGGCTTTCAACCTTCAGTCATCTCATTTGTTTCAAGAGTATGACAAACTCCTTCAACTGCAAAAAGCATTCACATGACAATCTTACCCTTGGGGCGGGGTCTGGCTGTCTCAGGGCGGGTCTGGCGACGGAGGGTTGCGGGAACGATCTCAGGTGGCAGGTGCAGGAAGTCCCTCAGGTACTGGATGCCCTCATTGGTCAGGTACCAGTAGAAGTGGCGCCAGGCAAACTGTTCTTTGACGTACCCACAAGACTTCAGAGACTACCAAAGGAAAAAAAAGGCATTTTAGGACTTTTAAAGTATTTAGCAATGTTGACAACTATGCGCCATTTAACATACCACTGCTTGACCCCCTCAACAAGGAGTACTTCATGTAACCCACACAACCCACACAAAGCAAGCATCATTCAGAAAAGGTGCAGCTCAATAACTGATGGCCAAAGTCGCTTGTAACCAGAAATACATCAACAACTACATTTGAAGCAAAGGATCTCCTGGATTGCCAGTTTTTTAGCAGCTTAGAAAAAACTGCATAACTATACCGTTACATGAACTAATGAAAGTCCTACCTAAAGCCCATCATGTGGCTGAACTTGGGCACAAGTAAACCAGCACATTGTTCATTTTTCTCAAGTAAGAAAGCCCGACATGGATTTGCCTGGAACATTTTCTTCAGGAACAACTGATTACGATCAATGATAGTTTATCACACATAGTTTGTCCAAAGTAGTACACGTTTCGGCTTAGCTGTATGGGTATGCTGCTTAATAGGACCACCAGATTTTTCCTATTTATTAGACACTACTAGACAGTAAACCCAAGAACCTGCCAATACAGGAAACCAGTCAACCTTTTTTTTCCTTTCTCCAAATCACAACAGTTGCACGCAAGCCTCAAATATGAATGCAGTCTGTATCACTGTCTATCTAAATAGCTTTACAAAGCAGTGTTAATTTAGTAATGCTTTTATTAATAATTGCATGAAATTAAATTATTAATAACTAATACCCAAAGGGAACTTTGAACACCATTACTGATAAGGGAATTGGTTTAACACAGGAAAACAAACCAATTCATCCATGCTGTCAATACAGTGCTGCATCAGTTCTAACATTTGTCCTTTCCCTAAAAACCACCTATGCATTCAGCAGCAATATTGTATGTTTGCATGCATTTTACAACACATCAGCAAACTCACCAGTCAGGCTTTCATTAACAATACATGTATCTTTGCTTTCATGGCTGACACAGAAGTTGTGTTAGTTAACTTCAGACAAGCCCAGTCAGAATTCTGACCAAACAAAAGGTATACAAGATGAGAATAAAATCACTCTTCCTTTAGTACACAGGTGCATATTACCACACCAATTTCATCACCACGAGACGACCATTCACTTGCACATTAAGGTATCCCAGACTGGAACCATTCCAGACCAACTTTCCCGGTACTCACCTGCATGGCCTTAATGACGTGAAGGTTGGGCACGTTCTTGTCAGCGAGCTCCGGGTGCTTTGGCAGGTGCACATCCTTCTTGGCCACCATGACGCCCTCCTTGAAGAGGAGCTCATAGATGGCAATGCGATTCTTCTTAGGCATCAACATCTAGACAAACAAGCAGATCCCAATGATAGTTACACTCTGACCTTTAGCAATATGTACATACCAAACAACAGGCTGACCAGGCATTTATCAATGAGAACGAAGTGACCTTGGTGTATTTCAGTCAACAAAAATAAGGGGGAAAAAAAAAAAACAGACTGAGGAAACTCCTCAGTACACCACATGCAAAAGTATTCAGACACCCCTTCTAATGAGAACGCAGCCATTTTAAAAGGTGCACCCATTGCTGACAGGCATTCAATCCCACACAATGTATGCATTATCTCCATACAAAAATGCTACCAACAAAATGGGATGCTCTGGGGTAGCTGTACTTGAACCTATGGCCATCATGCCCACTGCTAAGCATCAGCTAGATGGGTATACAGCTGCCCAGCACTGGGCTTTGAAGCAGTGGAACTTGTCATAATTGTGCTCCAATACCTTTAGGCATGAGCATGAGTGGTGCTTGTGATCCAGAACTAAATACCCAACATCACTACCTGTCCTCACTAATGCTCTTGCGGCTCAATGCAATCAAATCCTCACAGAAATGTTTCATCATCTAGTGCTAAGCCTTCCCAAAAGAGTAGAGACTGTTGGTGCAGCAAAGGAGGACAATCTCCTTAATAATACCCTTAATTTAAGAAGAAATGGTCTACAACATTAGACATATAAGCTAGGTTAGTGAGTGAACATCATGGTCACGCTTCCCTCTGGAGTCAAGAATGAAGCAAAAGTTGGTGACTGAAAAACACTGAACAGCAGGCCAGGCAGCAAACTCGTCAGCCAGATTAACAACTGACTTTTTGGAGCACAACAGGATCCAAACACATCCAGAGGAAGATTAATGACTTAATAAGCCCATAACGTACTCCGCCATGCAGAGGACAGATTCAGATGAGGAATATCCATCATTAGGTTAGCTTGCTTGCCAGTTCCACTGGTTATGAATGTCAGCTCACTGATTCAGATACACAACACAGATAAACTGAAGTGTCTACATATAAAACATCACCGAACAGCTACAAGGCGCCGTTTCAAGCGGCTCCATCACCACAGAGCAAACAGAACTGGGGCTCACACCGAGCTAGCATGCTAAACATTAGCTCGCGGTTTAATAGCAAATTTTACTGTTGTGGCTGCACGTTTCGACTTAAGACCAACTGCTGACGTTTAGGTGAAAAACAATCACCTAAGTCACCAAAACTAAAAGGTCTGGATCCTGAGTATTTCTGTTCTACTGGCTACATTCAGGAAGACTGACTGTAGCCGCGCTAGCTGCCGCCTCAGCGTCCTCAGACATCTGCCCTCAAATATCCTATTTAATAAGTGTAATTTCGCGCAAGACTGTTAATCACGCATACATAAGAGAGTCTTCGCACATATCGAGTCAAAAAAGAGGCGATATATAAAACGATTATGTAGATTTTGATGGATTTCGGGCCTCAGAGTCGGCCTACCTTTACACTTGCTGAGAGACCGGAGTCGGAAAGGACCTCCGCTGTAACTCGCCCTGTATTGTTGAGTGGAGCTCGTCGCTCAGTCAGTACCGCCACCTACCGGTCTGGAGCTGAATGTTTAAGCGACCTTAACGGAGAATTCCACCAATTTTTTATATTTCTGAATCATTCAGGCCTTGATACGTAAAAACAGAGTCGTTCAGAGTGTTTTGACGTAAAATCCTTCATTGTAAAGAAACTCAGATTTCTATACAGTGGTGGTCAATGGAACCAGGGGTCACAATGTCTACAACACAAATATAGCCATTTCATTTACTATCCCAAACCACCAGTGGACCCTACATTCTTCAGTTTTTATATGTAATGTTGATGATGATAAAACAGTCATAAATCTGACAGCAATACGTTTCGTATCCCACAGCTATCATAATACAATGTGCCAGACATCAGGCAGCGTATACCATTTAGGTAACAACTCTCTGTGAGGGAGCATTCAGATGTCTGGTTCCTATCACCACCACTGTGAACAATTCTGACTCTGCAAGTTTCTCTAGAACAGAGCATTTCACACCAAACCACTCTGAATGACTTTGTTCACATCTTAATCATTTAATCATGTAGAATTTTTGAAAAACCAGTGGATTTTCCAAATTTTCTGCATAAATAAATCGTCAAAATGTAAACAAAGTCATTCGGAGTAGTTCGATGAGAAACATTTCATTCTAGAGAAACTTTCAGAGTCAGAATTGTTCGCAGTGGTGGTGATAGGAACCAGACGTCTAAATGCCTCTAATACTCGCTCAATGAACATTATGACACAAAATGGTTAGGAATACACTGCCTAATACCCTAGATATTGTTTCACAATAGTTTTGTGATAAGCTTTTGGCGTACATGCAAGGGATTCTAAGGCAATTTTTTTTAATTTAGTACTATTTTACCATCATCAACATCACATATAAAAACTCAAAAGACACGTTTAGGTTCACTGGTTGTTTGGACAGTAAATAAAATGGCTATATTTGCACTAAAGACACTGCGACCCCTGGTTCCTATCACCACCACTGTAAAGAATACAACTACAGTTACAATAAATGAAATGAGGTCTGAAATCATGAAATAAGAAACCTTTCCCACAGTATAGAAGTTAGTACACTGCCCCCTACAGGATCTACAAAACGGAGCAAAGATGATTAAACTGGAGCATGAAGTTACTGGAGTTCAACTGCAGAAAGAAAATGCCTCTTTTCTCTGTTAAACCTAACAGGCTTTGTGAACAGGCTAATCACAATTAATACTGTCCTATACACTTAAAAAGATGGTTCTTCAAGGGTTCTTTTGTAAAGGCAATGGTTGTATCTAGCACCATGTGTTTTAAATAGAATCATTCCATGCTTAAATGGTTCTTTGCATGGTGAAATGGTTCTTCAGATTGATGGAGATGTGTTGTTGTTTCTGAAAATGGCTCTATATAGCACCAAGGGTTCTGCTATTGTTAACGATGTCAAGCTTGTAACAACAGCAGAACCCTTTTTGCTGCTATATTGAAATATTTTCAAAAAGGAAATTTAAGCCTGAAATGGTTCTCTATAGAACGTGTGGCTCTAAAGATAACCTTTGCCTTTACTCAAGAGCCCTTGAACCCTTCTCCAAGGGTTCTTTGGTGAAGAAAATGGTTCTATATATTGAACTATGAACACTCAAAGAACCCTTTGCATGATTAAAGGGTTCTTTGTGTGGTGAAATGGTTCTTCAGACTGATGGAGAATATGCTGTAGATGGTTCTATACAGAACTGTTTTAGAAAGAGTTCTATATAGCACCAAAAGGGTTCTGCCATTGGTAATGATTTCAAGCTTATAACAACAGCAAGACCCTTTTTGGTGTTACATAGAAACATTTTCCAAAAAGAAAGTTAAGCATGAAATAGTTCTCTATAGAACTCATGGTTCTAAACAGAACCATTGCTTTTACTAAAGAGCCCTTGAACCCTTCTTCAAGGTTTCTTTGGTGGAGAAAATGGTTCTATATAGAACTATAAACACTCAAAGAACGCTTTGCATAATTAAAGGGTTCTATGCATGGTGAAAAGGTCCTTCAGAGTGATGGAGAATGTGCTGTAGATGGTTCTATATAGAACCTTTTTGGAAAGAGTTCCACATAGCACCAAAAAGGGTTCTTCTATTGTTACAAGTTTGGCAACGTTACAATAGCAATAGAACCCTTTTGGGTGCTATATAGAACCCTTTCCAAAAAGGTTCTATATAGAACCATCTACAGTATATTCTCCATCAAAAATAAAGCATATTCTCCTTTTTGGAAAGGGTTCTATATAGCACCCAGAGGGTTCTTCTATTGTTACAAGTTTGGCATAGTTACAATAGCAGAACCCTTTCCAAAAAGGTTCTATATAGGACCATCTACAGCACATTCTCAGTCTGAGGAACCATTTCATGACGCAAAGAACCCTTTAATCAGGCAAATGGTTCTTTGAGCCTTCATGGTTCTATATAGAACCATTTTCTTTACTAAAGAACCTATGAAGAACCTTCTTTTTAAGAGTGTATTACTGAAAATGAGTGTAGTTCGCTAAACAGGGTGACAATGGGCAGGACTGAAAACAAACACCAGCATTTCTTGCTCATATCTTGTTTATCTTGTTTATTGGAGCTGCAGACAATATAAGAGCGTCTTTACCAGTTTAATGGTTTCCTCCATTTTGGAGTTTAGATGGTCTCCAGGGTGAAAGTCATGAATATGTAAGAGCTCCTCGTGCTGGACCATCCCCCATCTGCCGCTGCGCCTCCAGCCTGAGCACATCACTTCCAGCCGATGTGCTCTCCACCAGGACCTGGGGCTTTTCCAAGGAGCAGCTAGGGGGAAAACCGGGCTCACTGTAAGGAGGAGGCTGGATTCTCGCCATTCTGTCTTCGGTATGTCTACTAGCCTGTTTTACTACTGCGGCACAGAAGGCGCTGCATGGCGGAGCATGTGACGGCAGAGTCCGTCCAAACGGGCTGCTCGGTCTGGCTGTATGTTAGCAGCGTATTTGGAGAACAGGCCAGAGCCGAACATGCTTCGTGCACAGAGCATGTAAATGAGGGTCTCTCGCTGTGTGGAGACTCGTTCGTTTCATGCTTTCTGCCTTTCATTCGCTCTAATGTGCTCAGAGTTGCAGCGGTTGCATGTGGCTGACTGTAAACGGATCCTGGTCATACATTAGTAATGGGCTTTCACCAAAATACTGACAGCTTTGAGCCACAGTGTCCATTTAGGAGACAAGATTTAATGCTGTTGAAATTTGATTAAATGTGGGAATGTATAGAAGAATTAGAATCATGTATATTTTATAATAATTTATGTTTATTATGATTGTATATATATATGTATATGTTTATATATATATATATATATATATATATATATATATACATACATATGGCATGGAATGCATGCAATTACAATCTTTACAGGACAAAGAAAAAATCTACTTTGCTTTTAATGTAAGTCGATGGAACCAGACTTTTTTCCAAGTAAATTTGGGCCATTTGTTTTGGTCGGTTGGTCATGAAATTTACACACAATGTAAAGGACAACAGGTATTTTACAATTAGGTCAAAAACTGAAAATTGTTAAAAAGGGAGATACAAGGTTTTGTTCCGACAGCAGTGACATATATTGCATGGAATGTATCGCTGCTGTCGGAACAAAACCTCATATTTTTCAGTTTTGACATAATTTGGAAATGCCTGTTGTCCTTTACATTGTTTGTAAATTTCATGATGAATGGACAAATAGAAATGGCCAAAAATTACTTGGAAAAACATCTGGTTCCATAGACTTACATTAAAAGTGAAGTAGGTTTTCTCCTTCTCCTGTAAAGTTATCATTTTGGAGATACGAGGTTTTGTTCTGACAGCAGCAGTATAAACACACATATGTAAGATAAAGGACCGTTAGAAACCATTAGGATTAAAACTTAGAAATCTATCTATCTATCTATCTATCTATCCATCCATCCATCCATCCATCCATAGCATCCATGGTTTCCCTTGGTGACCATCAGTTTGCATTTAGAATCAGCCATTGGTCATCTGTTAAACCATTAAAATTCTTTACACTGTGATATCAACCCATTAAAAAAGCCAAAACGCATTGCAAAACCATTAGAAAACAACAGAAACACTTCTTGGTTTTTAAGAGGTTTTTCAGCTGGGTATTTACTTCTTTTCTCGTGTTTTCCAGTGAAATCTAATTCGGACACTCTTTTATTGCACACTGTGACATGGTGGATGAGGCAATTAGAAGTTCTGCTCACTCAGTCCCCTGTGGAGGTTCACAAAGACCATTTCTGTAAAAGTAATCTCAGCTGCTTCTCCAGAGAGATCTTTTGAATACAGAATGTCCTGGTGTTGTGCATTTTCAGGTCCAGTCTAATAACCTCGCTGGCAGGTCACTTGGTGAAAAGAGCAGTCAATACAATTATGGGTGATATTAGATGGATTGTGAGATGCCCACTAAATTAGCTTGACCACTGCAGTTGTATGATCCTTTTGCTAGTTGGCTGTGGGACTGACATTCGATTATACTAATAACTGAGCAATCTACAGATCATTTTGATGGTTAATGGAGTCATCAGAGTTTGTAAAAAAGGCTAAGAATGTACAACAAACCATGTGTAGATTTCAGAGATTAGTGTCCATCAGGCTGTTTTCTTTTTTAATTGAGTAATTGGGTTTCATCAGTTAATTGTGATAGCCCTAGTTGGATGGTATAACATTCTGGTGCAGTTGTCTCGTATGAGTCAAATCACTTTCAGCTTTGGGCTGGGACTCTTGACTTGGTGTGATATTATATGATTTTCTCCATTGCTTGGATTGTGATTAAACATGTAAAGCAGGGATCATCAGTTCTGGTCCTGGAAGACCGTATTCCAGCACAGATTGGTGATTTCCCCGCTCTCACAACTGGTCAGTTGATTCTCAGGTTTAGTCAAAGTGTTAAAACAGAGAAATCACTGAATTGTGCTGGACACCCATCCTCCAGGACTGGAATTGAAGAAGCCTCATATATGTACACAGTCAAGGAGCGATACCATGTCTCTCCA